TAGGATGGGGTAGGGAAAGTAGAGAGGAGCCAGAAGACACTCGAAGTGCCATTGCTGTTGAGAAAAGCATAGCATAAACCCACAAATCAGGTGTTTGCAGGGACAGGCACTTTGGTTTGGTGTTGAGCGGTTACTGGACTTTTTCACTAGATCCCTTGGTACTGTTGAGAAACAGCAGCTTTCAGGCATACAAGCCCCTCCTCACTTCTGAAACAGAAGCAGCAATCTTCATGTTAAGAACAGATTGAGATTAGTTGTTCTGGGTTTAACTGAATTATGTTAATCAGCTGAACAATTTGATAACAAGGAGTTTAGTCAGTACTTGTGAAGTGCTCACAAGGGAGAGGTGGTAGGAGAGGTAGGTAATACTGTTCATGGGATACTGAGGTGCTAGTAGGAGGGGAGCATCTATAATATATCTTAAAAGTTATCTTCTTTGTAGCCAATATATCTTAAAATACCTTCCTTATAGCTAAGATGTCTTTTTAGCCAGTAGGCTTGTTAATTCCAGATTTACCTTTCGAAGGTGTTTTGCTCCTTTGAGTGTCTGTTTTATGCAAAGTGCCCCCCCCCCCCCCCCCCCCCCCCCATTTTCAGTTTGGGGCATCTCTCTGTGTGCTGTTTGTAGGAGTTAAGTCCGGTGACTAGCGGTTGCCTGGTTCCCCTATGTTATTTCTTCAAGTGCAGTGGTGCACTGAGTGGTGTGGACACCCTTCTGGGGCGTGCATGTGTGTGCTGTGCCCCAGCCTGCTTTGGTAGCTGGGGACATGTGATGGCAAGTTTTGCAGCCGGTGCTGTGCAGTATTCCCCCTTACAGGGTGGCCTAGGGAAGAGCTTGGCTGAGTAATTCAGGAGAGGCGCTGATGTTCTGCAGAGATGATGTCTAAGAAATACCTGTATGAGTAATAAGAATGGATTTTAAAAAGTCAGTTTATCTCAAAATTGTTATTACTCAGCTTGTAAGTATGTGGGCTCCTACAGATGTATCTTTAATTGCTTCTGATGGCTTGCTCTGCAGCATCATCTGGCGGTAGCAGCAAGGAAAAATTACCTCTCAGCACCTCTCCTTTCTGTATCCTCCATTACTGTCATGCCCCATAACATCCTTGCCTCTTTCTCTTCTCCCCACCACTTCTTCTCTAGTTATTCCTCCTGCAGACTGAATTCACAGGAAAATCTCGAGGAGTACTTGGCTGAGGTGACTCTGAAGGACTGTTGGTCCCACATCTGGCACTGTGTGAAATTTGACCCTTGGTAGAGGCTCAGCAGGGGCCAATGTATCATTGAACCCCTTTGGAGAGTTGCGTAGGATTTATACAGCCCACAAGTTCCACACTGTCCTCAGTGGAGGCCATACATCGCACTGTTACTATCTGGAGAGCAGATACCATGCGTGCAAAAATTAAATGAACACTGGCTCATGCTACAGGGCTGAATTTCCCCTTACAGCCTGAGAGGTGGACAGATAAGGCTTCTCACCCTTGCTCCTCAGCACAAGGAGAGGGGCATTTGCTGCAGGCCTGCTGCTCTCACACCAGCTGAGCACGGTGAGGGGCAAGCAAGCAGCAACCGACCACACTGTCGGGCACTGCCCATTGGCGCCTTGGTTTGGCACAAACCCCTGGGGGAGAAAGGGCACAGCTTTAGCCTCCCCTTGGAGCGTGGGGGGGACAGGGACTGAGATGCGACCTCGGGGCTGTATTGCCATCAGACAGCTTTCTTGCTGTAGGTGAGCACCACCACGTTTGTGTCCATCTGGTGAACCTGGACACTGATAACCGTGGGGACATGGTGGTCCTGGTTCTGGCACGGACCATGATAAGCTGTTACCTGCTCGGGTGGCTTGCTGTGCTGAGGTCTGGGCTGCCACATGCCTGGCCTCGTTACCTTCCCTGGGTGGACTCGGCAGAAGCTGGGCATGCCTCAGCCCTGGCTTTGCAGAGAGGTGGCTTCAGCCTGCGTGCTCGCCAGCCCGTGTGCCGCAGCGGCAGGGCGCTCGCCCGCAGGGAACATTCAGCACGGCTCTTTGGAACTTGTTTTCCTGATTGCTGAAGCTGACTCTGAGCAGCATGGAGATCTGCAGGAACATACTTCCAAAGCACCTCTTGTGGATGTAGCTTTGTAGTCCGTTGGACTTGCCTGCTGGCCCATCCCCTGAAAGGACTACCCGAGAAAACACGCTTGTAGCCTGCAGAATGACAGGGGAACGGGGCAGGCGACCTTGCTGCTTCAGGGGTAGCCAGCTGCAGCAAGCCTCACCCAAACCTCGAAGCCTTCTGATCTCAGTGATGTCAGATCAATTTGCCTTTTTGAGGTAAACTTACAGCACAAGAATATTTATGGAGAATTAATCATATTTTACCTCATAATGTGTCAGGACCATGAGATGTAGAGAAGCACAAAGCTGCTTATGAAAGGATGGGGAGAGAGTACCCCTGCCTGTCCTGTCTAAATCATCACCCCGGAGCTTTTCTTCTTCAAATATTAATGTTTTCTTGATTACTTGCTCCTTATGAAAAGGTGATTGTGCCTGCAGACTCTGAATAATTCATTTAAAATATTAAAGCTAGAGAGAAGTGAACTTTTAGTTAACAGTGGATTAGAGCATGGCCTGCCCATGACATCCTTGCCCTGGGTGAGGAAAGCAATGGGAAGCATTCCCAGCATCCTAGTCCTTTGGAGATGGCAGGATGGAGAGCAAAAACAGTGGTCAGAGTTCCTAGAGACCATCTTCTCCCACATGTGTGTAGGTGGGGAGTGGAGAAGGAAGGAAGGAATTGGGGGGGGGCGGGGAGTAGGGAGCAGTGGGGATGGCTCAATGAGCTTTCCTTCAATTTATCTAAATTCTAAATTACAAATCTAGGGCTCTAGCCCTAGAAGGAAGGAAGGTAGGTCCCAAAATCTTCACTGTCACCTCTGGCCATGCTTCTGCTGCTGGATGGAAGAGAAAATACTAGTTCCTAGCTTAGCAGCTAAACAGCACATCCCCTGTGCATGCTATGGGCTAGCCTGCTCTGTTGGCAGACGTACCTTAGAGGGGCTGGTGAAATGATCTAAAACATTAACTTAATAATTACTCAGTGCAGATAATCAGGAATCCAGTGCTTGAACTTATCTCCTGGTCCTCCTGTACTCAGCAAGTGTAGACACACGTTCTGTCTTCTCAAGGAGCTAGGGACAAAAGTGCTACCCTGCAAGGACTCTCATAAGCCAGAATATGTGCTGTAAGACTTGGGGGAAAAAGCAGAAAGCAGGTGAAACCAGACTAGCTTCTCTGGAGATGCAGCCTCCAGAATGATGTCAAGAAAGGACAGTTGTAAACAACCCCTTGACTTTTGTAAATTCTGGATTTTTTTTGAGTTTTCTGCTTGGACTTTAAACCTCTGAGATGCTTTGATGTAGGCTTTGCTGATGCAGCCTTGGGCAGCTCAGGAGCCCAGAACTGGCTGGACTGAGAGCATACACATCCATTTCGCCTTTGTCTGCTGTGATGGATGTTAGATCCCACCTCAGAGGGGACCAGGGGGTGTGAGGTGTTGCTGAATGTTTGTGCCTGTTGATTTATGTTTATTAGTTCCATTAGTTCTATTTACACAAGTGCTTTTGCCGTCCTCCCATAACTCAACCCCGTCATGCTAATGCAGGTAATAAGTCACTCAATCCTCTGACTCCAGCAAATGGCTTCTCTATGATGGGCGCTTGTTTTCTGCCTACACGGCCAAACTACAGTCTGTGTCTGTGCTGGAAGTAGGGGGAACAAAATGGCTCTGTGCCAAGCGCAGTACGTATCACCAGCCATAAGCACCACTCCCTCAGGGTTTGACTGAGTGAGGGGAGAGGGGGAGACAAAAAACTTGGAGGCTTCTCATGTAATTCAGCCCCTGCAACATTAAGCGGGTGCTGGTACTATCCCCGTGTCCTTTTGTTACTAAATCCTGGTATGAGATCAGTTCATCTGTGTCCTCAGCATTTTGCTTTCATTTATGAAGCAGGGTGAATTGTTTAGTGATCTGTATAATTGGGAAATGCTATGTTGGAGGAGCCAGGTGTTGCCTAAATTGGTATTCCCATCTCAGGCATAAAAGGAGGCTTCTGTTATGTGGGGTTGCTACATTCCCCACTTCTTTTTGTCCTGGTGAGGTCCTACATGTTGTCAAAGGGCAAAAGATTGTATCCTGCCATTTTTACTGAAGCTGTTGACATTACATGATTACTGAAGTACTAGAAAACTCACAAAGTATCTCTATGCCATTCACTTTAAAATCCTTTTTCCCCAGACAGACCATGGGAACATGACAGACTGGTTCCATGCTCTGCAATGGATGGGTTTTTTTCCCCCACAAGCAAGTCCTTATGCCCCTTGTTTTTATTACAGTCTGATGTAAGATGCCATATAAAGATTGCCTCTGTGTCCCCAGAGGAATAAGAGCAATCATTTGCATGAGTGTGAAGGCTTTCTGATCTCTTTTCAGGCTAGTTTTTTTCAGCCCTTGTGAGACAGATTCTCTCTTCCAGAAACGATCAGCTATCCTCTACAGGCACTGTGGGATAAGGAGATATTTTTTTCCCCCCAGTTTATATTGTCACACAGCCAAAGATTCATCAAGGTTTCCAAATTACAAACCTAATCTAAAAAGGGCAAATTTATTTTTGTTGAGTCAATAAGCCTACATTATTTCCTCCTTTTGCTTCCTCAGACTTATCACACACAAATATTAATGATACCAAGCATATCTAACAGCCTATTAGGTTTTAGCCGAGTCCTGGTTTTGCTGGATGGTCTGAAGCTGGAATCTGTATTAAACAGCATTAGACATGAAGCATGTCTGCTGGTTAAAGGGATATATTGGGAGGAGGGCAATAAGGAGCCTACCACAACAGTTCTTATTTAATGGACCAAGGACTGACTTCTCAAAATGTTCCTTTTAGGTCTTGTTTTAATTGAAATGGACTGATCTATGCAACCAACAGGGAATTAAGCATGACTTATAAAACCTTACCTGGCTCAACCAGTCTGTAGATCTGAATGCCTAGCAGATAGATGCGGCGGTTCCCCCCAGATGTCTTTCCCTGAAGAGCTAAATACTTCCCAGGACCTGACACCAGTGACTCGTACACTGCTGGTTCAACTGAGCAGGGCCCGCCTGAACCCAACACAGCTAAAAATCAGGTGTCCAGAACTGGGACAAGATGGGCTGCAGAAAGTCAGTGGCTGTTTCAGAAAAGCTGGTGGTTGGTCTGCTGGATTTGAGGTGCAGCTGGAATTTCTTCTTTCACCTCTGGGTTTCCTAAAGGATGAAGATGATAATATTTACATGAGAGAGAGCAGGGACAGTCATGTGTATGTATAAAATAACCAACGGGCCTGGTTATCTTACTTATTTTTCTAGCTTCTACAGATTTGCCAGCTTTTGAGCAAATGAAGAGTGGAAGTACTGTGGAAGGTAGAGTCTGTCAAACGAAACCTGGACCACTAATGCCATCCAGTGGCTGCCACACACTCACACATCTGCCATCGCTAATAAACCCAGAATTGACTGGAACAAATAATCGTTCCAAACTCTTTCCCCCTTGCTGTTTACAACCATTCACACAGTGGTTTTTTTGCACTTGAACCCATCAGAGCCCAGGTTTATCCTGAAAAAAAATGTAAGAAACCACACATAGGTTGTATCTATCTTGTTTTAAGCACATTTTTCCTTTCCCACCTCTGTTTTCTTTAGAAAGTATCAGATTAGTCTCTGTGAAGTAATCCCCATATAAATTGAACATGCTGCCCAATTTGTATGTGATCTGCCTTTGTGCACACGATGCAATAAGCTGCCCTGCCCTTTTACAGTGAGTACCTTCAGCCAAGAGCCATGGGGGAAATGTATAAAAATTAATTTGGGGTACAGAGCAAAACGGACTTTATTTGTTTCTGCAACGGTGTGTTACGCAGTCGCAGTTCATGTAGCCCCTATAAAACAGCTAGGCACAACAGGAACACTCAGTGTCGGCTGGCAGGCAGCAAGGAGAAAGATGTCCTGGCAATAAACAGCTTGTACTAGAGAGATTAACCCAGCACCTACTGCAACATCCTCCAAAAACCCAATTAGCCAACCACCACCACCACAGTCAAATCACAACCATCTGCTTCCTGATCTGCTCTGCTCTGCTCCCACACCCGCTGGGACAGACCAGGCAGAGCCGCAGGATCACGAAACCCGGGCAGGACATGTCTGTGCATCCGCTCAAGTGCTTGTGCGGGGGACTCGCAGCACACTCCGAGCAGAGCCCTAGAGGACACCCATCCCCTGCTTTCAGAGTTGAGGCAAGAAAGCAGAAAGGTGGTCCAGAATTTTCATTCTGCTTTCAGACAGAAAACATTTTTTTTTTTTTTTCCATGCCCCACAGCGGTAAGGAGACCTGGCCTGGGCTGCCTGGACAGCCAGGCTGCTGCCTGCTCTCACAGGCACACAGGAGGACTCTGGTGTGCAGACATCGCTGAGGTGAAAGCAATGAGAAAACTCTGCAAAGAAGCAGGGTGGTGGCTTAAAAGAGAGGGGAGGTGAGGGTCCCACAGTCAAACCACTGGAGGGATGGTATCTGGGGAGATAAGGGGCATGACGCACTGACCAGCACAGAGGTGATTCTTCTGTGATGGGAGCTCTTGTGGGCTGAGGCCATGCTCCACACATGGCCTTGAACAGGTAGGCTGAAGGCTATCCCCAGGCATACAGCAGGTCCTGGGCATCCAAATAATGTCTTCTGTGCTGGCAACAAACCATCTCAGAGGTACCACCTGCAGGCCCTCAGCTACTCAGAGCCAGGCACAACTGGGATATAAAACCTGAAAACTCTAGGTGGGTGCTGCCTCCACCACAGAGATCAGCCGTAGCCAAGAGCAGAAGGGGGATGTTGATCAGGAACACGAGGGTGTTGTGCACACAGGTGATGCAGGTTGTGCACGAATTGCCTCTGCTGCAAGTTCCCACAGCATAGCACAGCAAACTCACCACCGTGGCAGTGATTGCTCCTCCACAGATGGTAGGGTGAAGACAAGTGTCCTCGCAGTGACCCAGGAATAGCTGCTGTGATTGCTCTGTCTCCAGAATACAGTCACAATGCTCAGGATGTCAGGAAAAGCCAACAGCTCCGGGGGAAAATAGGCAGCAGACAGCTTTGCCTACCTCCCGCTGGCAGTCACTTCAAGGTACTCACCAGCTCTGAGCTGCGGTAACCCTGGTCAGCAGGTGCCAGGCACTGCCAGAAGGCAGAGCTGCCAGAGGGCAGTGCCCACCCACTGCTGAAATGAGAGAGGGGCCCAGAGAGAACGAAAATTTGAACAGCCAGAGCTAGTGCCGTGGAAGTGGCCTTCCACATTCTGAAGCGAATGTGCTGCTGTTGATCATTACCCCTCTGCAGGTTAGCATCTTCCTACAAGGATTGCCCCTGGTGCGTGCCCAGACCCCAGTGCTGCAGCCAGCACTACCCGGCGGCAGCTGGGACTCGCTGTACAAAAGGTATGAGGATTAGTTTGTGGAAGCTGGCTGGCCTGTTTTTTCACCAGAGGGGTGCCATCTGAGGCTGCAATAAATGTTCATGGTGAGGTTTTGGGTCTGGAGGGGCGTCTGGCACTCCACGGCGCGGGCTACATCGCACCCACCCGTGCCGAGCAGCTCCCTCAGCCTGCTCTGAGCAAAGTCGCCGTTGTCCCTCAGACCTCCCGGCACAATCGCACCTGGAGCTGCTCCTTAACCAGGTCATGTCAGAGCGATCCTGGCTAGAAAATCCCTGCTACTGAAAGTGTGCAAACGAGCCAGGATCACAGCGACAGGACCAGATTAGGGAACAGCTACACGTGAAGCCAGAAGCGGTGCCGCTCTCCAGCAGCTGGCGGCCGTAACCTCGTCTTCCTCCACAGCCACGGCCGGCCCAGCATGGCTGAGCGGTTCGCAGGCGTGTGACATTGGTGGGCTGCCCGACAGGGACCAGCAGGAGCTTTAAGTGACTCCAGTTCTGGAAAGGGACGGGGACTGTCCGGTGAGGCCCACTCGGGAGCGTGCTGACAGGGCCGGACGCAGTTCCGTGCAGACGCAGGTTTTGGTTCCAGGACAGTGACAAAGCTTGGCCTGGGCAGGGACCTACAGGCAGGTTTCTAAAAGTCTCTCAACACTTACAAGTGAATGTGGAAGGAGAGTTTTTCTTCTGTCCAACAAAACCAACAGTCACAGTGCCCGAGTCCTGACTGGGAACTTGCGTTATCTGTTCTGGCCACGTTTTGTGAAGGCACTCCAGATCACACAAACCCAGCGGGACGATGGTTCCCGGCATGCACGCTGGGTGCAAAGTCTGCAGGCTTTCTCCGGTGGTGCACTTCGTCCTTTTGGCAAGGCTGGAGATGTCTGCTGACCTGTGGAAAAAATTTCCTAACAGATGCCAAGTGGTCACATAAACATTAATTACACAGTACTGTGGAAATTGTATTACAATACCTGGCTAAAACATTTCGCAGCTGCATTCCCACTTACTAATTGCTTGTATTAAGACAGCACCCAGAAGCCTCGTTTCACTGACAGCTGTACAAACTCCAGCTTATTCCTCATGAAAGAACTCGGCTGCTCCCCAACCACCCACTGTCCCCAGAGAAGAAATCACGTGTCTAAAAAGCCAAATAAAACCACATCTTTGTAATTCTGGAGACCTGCCTAGATACATTCTGTTTGGCAGTCTTGATTTCCCACTGCAGAAATGGGATAGTTTATCCTGTTGTATCATTTAGGTATTTTCTAACTGCATATTAATTAACATTTTCACTGTGGTTTTGTACTGAATCAAATGATTGCATCTCCAGGATTAACCAACGCAGCTGAGTTAAGCAAGGAAAAAAAAAAAAAATATAAACCACCTCAATCCTTTGGTGTACTGACACTTGCTGTACTACTAAAATGTAAAGTTGGTAAATACTGAAGAGAGACTGCAGAACGCTTTGTGTCGGGGAGTGCTGAAAAGTATATCCAAATTAAACTGCATGGGAAGTTACCTCCAGCATGTGCTTATGCGGGTTGGGATTTACAAAGCAATTTATATATCAAGTGAAATGAACAGTTTAGTTACAACTATAAGGACTCTTACAAATAAAATCCTAGCTAATAATCTAAGAATAAGCTTTTCTTTTTATACACTGTGAATGAAATCCTTAGTAGATCACTGTATATAACATATATAAAGTATGAAAAGGCACAGGCTTTCTTTGGACTTTATCAATTTTTATCCTAGTTGATATTTTAAATATATTTTCCTAATATATATTTATATACACACACACGCACAATCATTTAGGTGGTTGGACTGTTTCAGTGAACAAAATAACATTCCTGAACACATAAACATTTTGACGGTCTCTAACTTAAAAAAACTTCTTTCAGATGACCTTTCTGGACAATGTTCTGTCTTTGACCAGCTTCAAAGATAACATTTTCACTTTTTTATGACAAATACTTTAATCACCAGTAACCCGAAGTGTGGTTTGCTCTGGAGTCCTAGTTCTGCTCCCCCACAAAAGCAGCCTTGCCAGCCACCACCGAGTACCTTCAAGCGAGCGCGTGCCCGTTTTCCTTTCTGACAGTGCAAGTGACCGATAAGCGCTGGCCGTGATGCCGGAGCTCGAGCACCTCTTCCTCTGCTGCTCCTGGGCTTGGCGTGGGGCCGGCCCAGAGCCCGGTGTCACACCAGGGAGCCTTGCTGGCACAGCCTCGGGAGTCGCCTGTTTGCCAGAAACAGGCTGAAGGGCTCGTGGGACTTTGGTCTGCCCTTCGTCGGCCATGCCGACAGCCCTGTGCTCCTGTGAGAGCAGAAAAACAAACCCTCTGGGCCTGATTTTTGCTCCGGTGAATCCAGCAGCAGCATGCAATCCCGTGGGAGGGGGGGCTGCGGGGGCTGCCACGGCCGGAGCAGAGGTGCCCATCGCCTGGGTGGGGTGCACACTTCGGGTAGCCGTTTTCTGGGGCTGCTGGTTGTGGTTGTGCTTCTCTGACAGTAATCCAAGTGGGCAAAGAAACTGCTCGAGGTGGGGAGAGTATGCACTGAGGCTGATGGAGCAATGCTAGTTTAAAATAGGTACGTGCAGGAGAATAATGCCTCAAATGACGGTTTTCATTACTTTAACCAAAACATTATTTTGAAATTTTTATAAACTATTGAAGCTCAGTTAAAAAAAAAAAAAAAAATCCAGTCCATAGTTTAAAAGCCGTTTCAAATTTCAACCAGGTTTCCCCACAATTCAGTCTGATTGCAGTCATCACTT